TGCATAGATGAGTGTGTCTTTAATTTGTGCAATATGTGTGAAATCCGCTTATTTCCCGCCAAAACTGTGATTTCTAACGGAACTGCTGCTGTTGCTGCTGCTGCTGCTCCTGCTACTGCCACTGTTGCTGAATGTATTTTTTTTTTTTTTAGAGAATCCCAAAAACAGATTCTTGTCGCTCTTATCGTTTATTCTTTTCAATAAACAACAGTGTTTGCTGATCGTTGATGTTTTAGATTGTTGTTAATGCTGTTATTCATTACGGTTATGCCAATGTTGAAAGGAAACAGAAATATAATTGATAGAAAATGGAGATGATAAAAGTATGTCTGTGTTTATATCTACGTGTGCATGTGTGCATGTATGCCTATGTGGTGCTTTTAATTTTTTATTCTTTTACGTATTTATCGTATAATCATGCTATGTGGTTTGTTGTTCACATAGCATGATTAAATTATTAAAATTTTTAGTTCTTGTTTATTTGTTTTTTTTTTTTTTCTTATGAACACTAATTAATATGAAAAATTGTAGACGATGACTGTATAGCGATTAAATAAACATAAACGCATATATGTTTTGATATACTTATAACATGTATTTATGATTATTTTTTGATATGTCTGCTTTCTCTGTTTATAAACCATGAGATTATATATTCGCATCTTTTATTTCCCTACCGGAAGATTTCTCATCTTACTATCATATAATGGCCAATTTCCGATATATTAAGCCATTGTGGACCATAAAATGAAAGTTGTATCGTCTCTTTGCTGCATTTTATTCTCCTATTGTTTTTATGCGATGAAAATTAATCTATTGTTCAGTTTAGTTACTTAAACTTCAATTTAAACTTGACTGAAACTTTGGTTGTAGTGAAAAGAAAATTGAAAATGGGGTTTCGGAGGTTTTGTATAAAATAACTCAGTTAACTGATAAGCTTAAGCGATTTCAACAGATTATCGGTTCATCATTTCTAGCGTTTATATTAATCTGTTACTGATATCAACAGTAAACGTGCAGTGCGGTTAATCATTTCCTGTGCTTTCCTGATTTGGCATTTTGGTGTCTATGTAAGCCTTCAGTTCGATCTTATCTTTCCCAATGGTAAAACGTTTTGTGGGCTTGTAACTCTTTGTATTCCATAATTTAGTGTACGTAGATGTCTAGTGCGTTCCGGTAATACTTTTTTTTAATACGAATTCTTTGAAACTATGTGGCATTTTTAACATTACAAAAATTGTTTATGGACTTGTTCGCGAGCCGTAATTGATGGAATAATGATTATTGGTCGAATTACTCACTGTATATTTTTCTTTTCAGTACAGCAGTGATAACAGTATATAGATTTGGGAAGTTATTATGGCAGATGATTACCAGGTGTTTGTAAATGGCGATCGCGTTGGTGTTCCCTCGCATAAGCCACTGCTGGAACTTTATGTGAAGGTTAGAAATATTAAGCCTGAGTTTCCTGCTGTGCTTGTTTCCTCACAAATTATTACTGAACAAGGAGAAGTTTTTATGTTTATCAGTTCATTCACTTGAGTGGACTTTAGGCATCGGGGATTGAAAATCGACGAATAGGTGCTTGCCTGTTTTGTCAAGAGTTCTGGATGGAGCTGTATGCCTTGTATGAGATTGGTGTTGTGCGAGTAGAAGTGAAAACAGTAAACGTTAATTCGGAAGCGTTCAAAAAGAGTTTCCTTGGTGCGCAGCCTCCTATTCTGGTGGAATCAGAAAAGTTGGTTTTCAGAAATTAAAGTTCTTTTGTTTCAAAACTTGACAGTGGAATGAAGTACCTTGAAATGTGATAATTTTCAGGGCCACTGAGTTTTGTAATATAAATATAGAATAGGGTTCAAGCTTATCCTCAATTAACTTGAGCAGCTGTTTGAGCGATTTTAGCTGCTCTCTCTACTTGGCTGAACATTTTTCTGGTTTAACGTTCGCAAAAGACCGGCAAGGAGTTGGTTTTAAGGTTTGTGTAGGTGTGAATGAACTGCACGATTGGTTAAGAGATTATAGTGCAAATAGTGTTTTAAACATTTACAAGTTGTTCTTAAAGCTGCTTCAGTTGTCGGCTTTTACTTATACGGTCATTTACAAGTTCTTCTGTTCATGATTTCTACTAGCAGTTTGTAGTTTTAGCAATTTTAACACTAAAGGTTGCATTCTAATGCGCAATTACATCTTTTCGTCAAACACTTGCTGGAAACCAGTGTGTTTTTAGAAAATGCGGCTTAAGTTTTTTTTATTTTTACTTTACTTTCTAGTAGTTTGTTACTATGACGATTAATTTTGTAATCAATTTTCTCTTCGTACTTGCACGGGTTTTGTTGATATTTTCTGTTTTGCTTGCATTTATTTTACTAATTTTTGGAGCGAGTGTATGGATATCTCAAGTTAACATGCTGTTTTCAGAGACGCGACTTATACTGACAACAGGGAAATTGAGGGACGTATTTTTCATTTAGCAAAGGAGTTCAATGTGCCACTTTTTGAAAAGGATCCAGTAGTTGAAAAAAGGATTGAAAGTCTTTACAGAGTCAGTTCTAGTCTTTTTTTCAGCAGATGTTTGCACTTTAGTTCTAATTTTTGTCATATTCTTGAATGCCAACGGTTTCTGTAGCATTCTTTAATAGTTGTGAAATGAAACAGCTTATTTTGGTTATATTACTTATTTGCAGAACTTCAAGCTTTTTCTAAGAGCGAAAACTGACTTTGATCAAGGAAAAAAGAGCCCATCAACAGTAACATCTTTACCTCCTCAGCAGGCTGCCTCATACAACAAACTTGTTGAACAGCTTGCAAACATTGATGAAGTAAATTTCATAATACCTGTTTTTTCTTTGTATTTTTTAATAACCAATCTTTTTATTTGTTCATTTTGATTCACTGTTATTGTACAGTATGGAGTAATGGGATTTTTCTGATATTTAATGTGACATTCGAATTGAAGTTTGGCCTTTGTACTTTTTTTTTCAGCTTCTTCGTGAACGTGGTTCTCGCTACTTGCTTGGTCAGAGTATGACAGAATACGACTGTGAACTGATGCCTCGTTTGCATCACATGCGGATAGTTGGACAAAGACTATTGGGTTTTGATATCCCACACAATTTGACGCATTTATGGAACTACGTTCTTACTGCCTACCGCACTGCTGCATTTATAGAGAGCTGTCCAGCCGATCAAGATATTCTACATCACTACAAGGTTTGTTTACGCGCTGCGTCTCTCCTATCAATCTGGTCTTCAATATATTTTTTAACTGGTTTTCGGGTTAAGTTTTATTTTTATATGCTTTGTTCAACGGGCTAGCGCTTAAGTCGTTTATAATTTTGCAGGAGCAGTTGAATTTGGTTCGAAATCAAAGGGAAACTCTGCAAGCGCCAACAAAGACGCACACTATTCCGGAAAAAGTATTGCATGATATTCAAAGGTTGGGACTTGATGGCAAGTGAGGTACACAGGGGTTTAGTGTGAACACTGAAGAAAATACTGAACAGTGATTTTTTAAAAGAGGCGGTCATAAGAATTGTATTGTTCGTGCTTGCTGCAGTATTTGCTGATATAATTTTCGTCGTATTCTTGTTAAAAGTTTAAAATGTATTCATTTTGGTGAGAGTGTACGCTTTCAGCTATTTTTGTTTATTTATATTTGAGGCTAATTATCGTTGTTAAGTAACTTTGTCCCTAAAGTTAGCTTTAAGAATATAGTTTAAAAGATTGGTGTACTTGCTTGGTTCATATTTCTCAAGGTAGCAAATCGTAGTTTGAAAGTTCGACGACTGATGATGACTCGCTGTCTGCCGTATTGTTAAAATTTGCTTTGAAAGTATGGCTGATTTTGAGACCGCAATCTCGAGACGTCAAGTTTGCAAAGGTTTTGCTTCGGTTGATAGGTTTTTTACGATCTGTAAGGAGGTTTCATGCAGTGAGAGGGGGGCTTTTATTTTCGATTAAACTTCATCTCTTCATTTTTTTGATTGCATGGTATAGTAGGTTTCTGCAGGGTTTTAGAGTAGGGGTTGGCTCATCAGTTTGACATTTTTAAGCTCGCTTGTTACAAATAGTTTGAGGGCTCGAGGTTCTGCGGGCCTCCAATTATTCCTTTTAGTCATCCTTTGTTCTCTCTGCTTATATGATTCTGTGTGCCTTGAACGGTGTTTATTATTATTACTTTTTGTTTTAAGACGTTCTGCTTTAAAAGTTTTTTAACAGCACGAAATAATGTTTAGTGGGATGCCACTACTCATGTTTTTTTTCTTTGCTTGCTCACTGATTTGTTCAATGAATTCAAGTTGGTTTTGGGCGTAGAGAGAACTACTTGGCTGTATTGAATGCTCTATCATTCGTCATAAATCTTGTTGCGTTTTAGCATAAATTTCTTACTTTTGTGTTCTCGCGAGGAGCAGGTCAATGAACTTCAGCAATGAGATAGTGAAGAGGTGCACCACAGGCGTCGTGCAGTACAGCATTGAAGTTGATCTCCACCGATCTCTAGTAGGACTACTCTAGCCCGTAGCTGAGTAAAGATCATTTCGTCAAAAAACACTGAGTGCGAAGGACTCCAATTTATTCTGACTGTTACTGTCGGAAAACAAAAAAACGAAGTTACTAGCTGAAAGCGATACATCAGATCACATTTCGTGACGGTTTTAACATCCTAAATCTAAAACTTTTGAAGACTACCGGCCGTCTCTCACACAAGCAGTTTGAAACAATTTTATAGTCGTAAGGACGGTCAGAAATTATTTTCAGCAGTTCATCAACAGAACATCTCTATCTTGTTCTCTTCCTAGTTTCAATTAAAATATATTAACAATTAACCATCACTATGAAACTTCACATTTCATGAAAACAGATTATCACTTTGATACAAACACAGAAGCAAGGAAAGGGTCAAGTACATGTAACGACTCCAAATCTATTGTACTTAACAGGAAAATCAAGAAAAAAATTAGAAGATAAGCTGGGAACTGTCTCTTTAAAACTGTCCTCTTACTGTTTCTCAGCTGGATATGTAGGAATTCTGAAAAGGTCTATCAGAAAAAAATTAAAAAGTTAAGTGTAATTACTTCGATATCACTGTGGGACTAGCCCCTTGATAAAAAAATACTTTGTATATTCAATTTTCAATGGTTCAGAATGTCCCAAGCATCGTCATCCCAATCTTTAGTTTTAATTTTTTTCGTCACATTTTTCGCTTGCTGCGACTTGGCGCGAGCAGCTGCTGTTAGCGGAGCACGTTCAACTGGGTCGCTATAATCTGAGCCGAAATCAATTAAGGGAGGAGTGGCCTTAAAAATAATTAGAAATAAAGTTTCAAAGACTAGAAAAATGCAGCAAACATTTTGGAAAACATGTCAATACTCACAAAAAAAAAAATTTCTTGTTTTTGCCAGTAAGAAAACTTTTTCAAGATGAACAAAAACTGAATAAATGCTCCTAATCAACCAACTTTTCTTCACCTAATCTAGCTATAAAAACATGAAATTTTCTGGCAATTCTGTAATACCCATCCTAAAAGAAAAAGGAAACCACTCGTACTTCCTTCTTCATAGCTGATTTATCTCCTCCCTTCTTTGTTTGCTGGTTTGAACTCGAAGTGATAGTACGACCACTTGAGGCAGCACCTGAAAAAAGAATACCAGTGCTCAGTAAAGCACAATGGGACATATTAACCTTTGAAACAAACGTTAACTTTAAAAAGCCACAAAAGACAAAGGCAATTTGAAATCCCACACGAAATATCAATACGAAACTTAAGACAGCCAAAAGGATCAAAAAATCAATTCGAAATAAACAATTCCAATCCCAGAAATTTCTGCCGATTAATAATAACCTAGTTTACTCTGTAACAAAGACTACTAGGCCATATAAAATAAAGTTCTGTTCAACCTCTTATAATATGAAAATATAAAAGAAGTAAAACGTGTAAAAAAGTTGCACCAAATTTTTCGTGATAAATTTTGCAGGTGCTACTTAGCAGAGACAGTAAGAAATGCTCCCCCTCACTCTATGGAGATTATGCAAATTCCAAGTTTCCCCCACAAGATACTAATATAGTAAACCAAGCTCCAAAGTATCTGGTTTTAAAAAATGAAAACATACTATCAGGTTTGAAACCGTCATTTCTTTCTCTGCGACTATTCGAAAATTCCAGGCCAACATCACTTCTATAACAAAAACTAGGGCAAAGTTAGGGCGAAGAGAACTAGAAAAGAGTGTTCGAAAAATAGAGCATTTTGTTTACAAAAAGTTTTTGAGAATGAATTTCGATAATGCATAAATAAAGTAAAGTATACGCTAAGATGCCACGCTTCGTTGGCCATATTTTGAAAAAACTAACGAGCTATTATATCCTTGATAAACTCCATCGCCGTAGTTTGCACTGTCTTTTGAAAAGGAGTTTTCTGGTGTTTCTAAGTCTTCGTACTGGCTAAAAAGATTAAAAGAGCATATTTGTTCCAAATATTGAAACTAGAACCAAATAAACATGGGTTATAAAGCAGAAGAATCTCTAAATTCTATACCTTTTCATTCCTGGAATGTTAAAACCTTGTAAAGAGGGACTTTTAACAAAATTTGATAGCCCACTCCAGGAACGAGATCCGATTTCAGTAGCTTTATGAGCCAACGATCCTAGACTGGCATTATGCAATAAATTGCCTTCCCGTACCTGTTAAAAACCGTGAATATAGAGAGGATCACCAAAGAGGATTCAAAACAGAAACAAGAACTAATTTTTTGCCCTCTCGACTGTTTAGGTCAGATATCAAGTTTCAAACCCAAACTTAAAAAATGTTCTTAAATCTAAATGAAAAATTTATTAATTTTCAGAGAAATTAATCAATGCTCTCTTAAAATATCAAACCTGCAATAGCACGAACTGACCTTTTCTGAAACTGTCCCTCCAAGTTCAGAAGCTTTTGCAGTAGCTTGCGCACCAATATCTTTCGCATAAGATGCAGCCGTCGTAGCACCTTTACTTAACATATTCCACCCCTAAAAAAGAGTTTTCCTTCTACTTCATTGCAAAAGCATCCATCGAAGACCGAGTATTTGCTTATTTTTCACAAACGATACATCAAAACGTCTTGATATTTCATAAAAATTTTTTTTAAACAATTAGGCTTCACTTATCCAGGAGAGTTGTTCTGGCTTCGATGCGCAGCAGAAACTTAAAGTTAAAAAGATGATTACAATAAATGGTTTTTTTTTTTTTTTCAAATAAGATATATCTCTTGAATAAAGAGCTGGTAAGAACGAACTTACTAAAGAAAGTGAACTGATTGCTCCAGTTAAAATATCGTTTTGATTATCGTTACTCACTGGTACGGTGTTACCAAATCCTTGATACCGATTCTCCCTTAATCATATGATACTTGATACCTTTAGTAAAATAACTTAGCCACTTAACGACAACTTAATTCAAAATATACCTTCCTTCGCCTTGAAACGAACTGGCCGTGCTTTGTGTAAAAGAACTGCCGCCATAGAAATTAGACAGACTGCTGCTGCTGCTATTACCGCCACTCCTCAAACTTGTGCTGCCACTACCAAGAAAGTTTGGGGTATAATTTCGAGCTGGTGAGGTACTCAAAGACCATTTCCGATTTTCCGATTCTGTTAAGACCTAAACAGCAAATCAGCATAAAAAAAAACTGGTAAGAACTTGTGCGTAGCTCCTGTGGTACTATAATCAAAAGTCAAGTTACAAATATGTTCTTTTTAAGGCTTTATAAAATATATACGAATATAAAGCATCCATTTCTTAACTCATGATCTTACTTTATCACGAAGAAGAGCAGCTGCCCTAGAATTATATTTTTCCTGCAGGGTCCAATTGGGTTTGTAATCTGGCTGCGACTCAAAAAATTCACGTGCATTTTTGTTACCTCCAACCTTCATCTTTGCAAGTTCACTCTCCTTCCACTTGTCCATTGTTACAGAACGTACAAAACTGAAAAATAAAATAGTAATAACAATGTAATAAATCTTCTTCCTAATTGAAAAGAATAACCTGACGTGTACTCCAAGGCCACGATGTAATCCTGAACAGTCCAAACATAACCATATACCATATGTTACACTGGCCCATTGAGGATTGCTGGCACCACATTCGAAACAAAACTGGAACACCAAGGAAGCTTATTCTTGAAAAACAGAGTCGGTTTCACCCAAGTTCGGAAAGACAAACATACGAAACCTGATTCATTTAACTGAGAGAAAAAAGTTGACATAAATAAATGCAAGAAAAAATTACGTTATTTTCATTTACTACTCTAAGGTCCTTTATAACACGCCTTGTCCGTGGGCTTGCCATGGGTTCGTCACTGTTCTCTTCTGGTAACAAAATTTTAGTAAACCAGACGCCAGAGGATATCCCAGTTGCCTACATAAATGCCAAATGCTTTTAACAAATATCAAGAGCAGCAAAAATTTCAAAGCTCTAAAGCATTTACTACGTCATCAGCAAATCCCACCAGTAACGAGTTAAAACTTCCAAGGCGTATGCGATCACCCAAATATGTCGATAAAAAATACCACCCCTGTTATTTAAAGAAGTCGCAACAAAACTTATACTGTCCAAAAAACAGTTATCAAAAAAGTTCTTCAATATCACTTCCAAAAAATTTACTCTAAAAAGGTTGAAAAAAGAACAGAAAAGGCCATACCACTGCAGGTCTCAAGTGCCGCAAACAAAATAATTCCCTATAACGTATCCATTTAACAGTAATAATCTATATATACCTGAAAAAAAAAAGTAAAGAAAATAAACACTAAAAATGCAACAGATTATGCTATAAAAGTCCGGAAAAAGTGAGCCCATAACGCGATAGCACTATATAAAACAACTGGTCTGAAGCTATAAAACAGTTTTAAAAAGATAAAAATGGCATTTTCACGCCATCTTAGCATAACAAACCATCATATTGCCACACAAATAAACCAAAAAAAAAAAACCTTTACATGTCATAACTTATATGTGACAAAAATATAAAAAGAGCTGCCGTTTTAAAGTAAAAGCTTCGGACTAGGATATAAGTGCCGTTGGTGCATGTGTAGACGGAATAGAAACAGAACGAAGCATCCGTATTCGGAGTGAATTAAACAACCATCATAATTGGCGTTTGTTCAACTGCTTTACATGCCTCCACAGCGCTAGAGAAATTAACACCAACAAAATACTGTTGTGTGTCAGCAGAGAGGTAAGCGGTAGAGATAAAAAGAGTAAAAGAAAAGTCATGGTAAATACAATGCGAAGAAGACAAAAGACGATGAAATTGGTGATACAGTCAGACAAAGAGACGTCTGTATAATTCCACGCAAGCGCCTTCCGGGAAATGTCGTCTTGGGAAACCGGAATCTGTGCTTCCAGTTTGATCCTGGTCATCTAAATGCATTTAAATTCTGAAAAGCGTACAGTACCAAAAATACATTTATGTAAATTTACTGTTTGTTAATACCCGATTACGTGTAATGCTGCCTACAGTTTTTAGGACACGTTTTCAGGTTTGTTTGCTCTTTTTTTTTGGGGGGGGGTGG